TCTCTCTTCATTTTCAATATTTATGAAATGCTTCTTCTCTTCACCTTCCTTCTCTTAACTTAGTAAAGTTGACTTTCCTTCTCACCACTCTGGTTCTGCCTTTTCTTCCAAGAATGGCAAGTCGAATTCACATTCACTTCCTCTTGTTTGAGCCAATGGTGCCAAAAGATCAAGGTGGCAGAAAGACTGGTGAAACCCTTCAAACCTGCCTTGGGGTGACTAAGAGCAGCTGAGCAGTGGCTGTGGTAGTTACATAATTTTGGGTCAACTTGAAGTTTAGGGGTGGAGTCCAGCCTGTCAATCATGTCACAGCCTGATTGTGCCTCCTTGGGGGCATGACCTCCTCATAAGGAGGGTCCTGGAAACCTCCCCCTCTATCTCTGCCTTCAACTTCATGCCAGGGAGCCACACTGAGACCTGTGAGAGTCTTGTGATGCTTCCACAGCCCTTGGATCCACCAGACTTTGCCCCCACCAGCCTGTGATCTTCCTGCATCATGTGGGTTCATGAGTCTGAAGAGGGATTTATGGACTATTATCAGACTTTTATACTAGTATTGGGATTTTTGGACTTGAACTGACTGGGCTTGGATGTGTACCTGGTATATAATTACTTCTTGATATAAAGCTCTCTTTTACACATATGAGTGTCTCTGGATTTGTTTCTGTAGTCAACCCAGCCAAACACAGTGGAAGAAAGGGATATGGGGATCTAATCATGAATGATCTTCATGAAGCTCTGTAGACCACAGGACACGTCCTAGGAAACATCAGTTATGCTCTACATCCAATGGCACTAGGACCCACAGCCAAACCAAACCAAAGTAATCTCAATTGAGTCAAATTTTGACTCATAGTGACCCTATAAGACAGGGTAGAAATGTCCAAGACTGTAACTCTTTATTGGAATAGAAAGCCCCATCTACCCCCCCCCCCCCCCAAAAAAAAAAAAAAAAAGGATTCTGGGCATAAACTACTGACTTTGCAGTTAGTAGCCAGATGCATAATTAGGTCTCAATTCTCTTTTTGAGAGGAACAGCCTTCCTTGGACCAGGGGCATCTCATCTTCTCACACCAATCTGAATAGAAGAGATGGGAAGTATTTGCTTTTAAGAAGAAGGACAGCATTGGACTTTGAGATAAGAGGGCTTCAAGTGAAGTAAACAGTTGCAGTTAAGGTGGCATGCTAAGGTCAAACATGTATGTCATGTGCCAAACTATCCCCAGTGAAACAGCAACAACATTGAGTTGATTCCAAAGCCACTTTGCAAATGACATCTTTGAAAACCTCTAGCATCTTCTTTCCGTACTCATCCAACACACCCCTTCATGCTTTGAAGTCTTCCTTACCTGCCTACTTATTCCTGTAGAGACATGCAGTCTCCAACCATATACCATCCCACAAAAGGGCTTCTAAACTTTTCTTCAAGAAAGGTATGGACTAGAGCAGTGGTTTACAATCTTCCTAATGCCACGGCCCTTTATATACAGTTCCTCATGTTGTGGTGACCCCCAACCATAAAATTATTTTTGTTGTTCCTTCATAACTAATTTTGCTACTGTGATGAACCATAATGTAAATATCTGATATGCAAGATGTATTAGGTGACCCCTGAAAAAGATCGTTCGACCCCCAAAGGGGTTGTGACTCACAGGTTGAGAACCGCTGTCTGGCTTCAGCTGTTTTTTCTCATTGCCATTGGTGCTGACTCAGCAACACTATAGGAAAAGATAGAACTGTCCTTGTGAGTTTCCAAGACTGTAACTCTTTATGGGAGTTGAAAGCCCTGCTGTCCTTCCAATATATTCCTTAAAGTAGCCCAAATTCTGTCTCAGAATTCTTTGGTCACTGGAAAATTATATTCTGGTACTTCCACTCCTGTCCATCTTTCTTCTCTGTCCCTGTATGGTCCTTTGTCTTCTCTGTTTATGTAATCACTACAGAGAACAGGAGACGGAATTGCTTTTGTTAAGCCTCAATGAGGGAAAGACACAAATATATGAAAAAAAATAGCAAGAGAAATGCGCCTGGAGAAAGAGGTGAGATGATTTAGATGAGTTTAAAGTCACACAAGGCAAGGTAATTGGATCTGTGATAGCCCAGAATTTCCCAAGTGAGAGAAACAGCCCATCCAAAGTTAAGTCTCAAGAAACAAGTGAGCAAGAGTAGATTCCTACAGCCCTTTATGGACAGGGTCTTTCTGTGAGGACTCTAAGGGGTATAGGCTCCTTGGTGCCTAAGGGAGACTCGTGTTTCATCCACTTAATTCCCCAGGCATTTCCTTGAGTCTCTAGATTTAGAACACACAACTCACAGAATAGTATCCATATCCCAAGTATAACCCCTCCAGACTGTTCCTGCCTTCAGGTCCTCCCTGAGAAAGGGTGTGGTGGGATGCCATCAGCTCAATCAGCTCTCTCCTGGGCTGGCCCAGTGTGCATCATGAGAGCCATATGGCCAGTTCTTTGTTCCTGCAAGCTCTGCACCCAACTCTTTCTCTTTGGACTTCCTTAACTCAACCCTTATCTTTACATTTCCCACTCTTGTGCCTCACACAAGTTAACATGTTCTGATACCCATGTCCTTTATTTCCAGGAATCCCACGGAACCCTCTGTGCCAGCTTCAGGTGAGAACACTCCCTCCTACACAGTGTCTCATTGGGACCACAGTACCTTGACACGTCCCTCTAAATATCTCTTTCACAAAGCCTTCATCTCAGAACTTCTATGCCAGTAAGGGATTTGACATTCTTCAAAGAACGAATAATATCATAGTACAGGCAAAAATGAGAACGATGAAGTTCTATTTTAATATTCTATGAACTTATCATCAGGGGCTGTAGTAGGGTGGAAGAATTTTAAATGTAGTTTTAAACTGAATTTTTGGTCATAAAAACAAAGCTAAATAAATGGGGAGCCCAATCATTTCAAAAGTGAAAGAAAAAATGGTAGTTTTTTTAAATTTATTTAAAGCAGGATGTGGGTTAGGTAGATAAGAAGTTCTTCACAAACAGCTCCTCTCAGAGTAAGACCTAAAATATGAGAAGACTCAGTCCCAACTCTGCTCAATCTACACTCACTCCCTTGGCTATCTCAACCTGCCACATAATTCAACTGCCAAGTGTATGATAGTAACGCCCATATTATATCATATTATATTTACATTTCCAACCCAGGCTTCTTTTCTGAACTCCAGACTCAGCTATTTCATTATTCACTCGACATGTCCCATGTGTTACTCTGATAAAATCCCTAGATAATGAACTCCGGTAACAACTGACCCTGGATCACTCTTGCCCTCCCCGTACTGCCACAGTTCTCCATTTCGACAACAGCATTGGCATGCTCTCATCTCTGAGGGGTCACGTGCACCATATTCTCTCTCACATTCTACTTTGGCTGGACCTTCCAAGTCTCTCCGAATCCACCCCCTTCTCCTCATTCCATCACTACCACCCAGTCTCACGGGACCAGCTTCTGCACCTGGTGTGATGACAGAGAGCCTCCCAAAATGATCCCACTCTGCCTTAGCGTCTACACAACATTGCCGGAAAAAGCAACCAATGGCTTTTCCATTAGGGAATCAGACCACGTGTGGTAGTTACATAATTTCATGACAATTTGACAAATAAGTGTAGGGATGACATCTAGCCTGTCAATCAGGTGTGTTAGTCTGGTTGACTATTATGGAACTACCACACCAGGTTACAGACTGATGGTGCTTCCGGAGGGTATGGCCTCCTCATGAGGATTTCTGGGAACTTCCTATCTTTCTCCCTGGAGGTGGGATATACGCTCTCTCTCTGCTTTCACCCTCCTTTTGACAAGCCATGGGGAGCTGCATTGAAAAGCAACACTCAGGGAGACTGAGAAGCCATGAGGAGACCAGCACCAGTGCTGAGATGCTTCCACCAACCCTGGATCCACAAGACTTTTCACCAACCAGCATGTGATCCTCCTGCTTTCAGCATCATTGCATGTGACTGCATCAGTCTGAAGAGGAATTTATGGGTTAATATCAGACTTAAGGTCTTGATTTGGACTAGGCTGGTCTGGTTTCTCAATATACAATTGCTTTTACGTATAAATAAATCTCTCTCTGACAAACATATGAGTGTCTTTAGATTTGCTTCTCTGGTCAACCCAGTTTAACACACCATGAGACCCCCTTCTGCTCCCAGCCCTCCAAAGCCTCCTAGCTCCCTAAGAGGAAGGAAAGAGAAACTCCCTCCCAGGCCTGAGCAGATTTGGTTCCTGTGCTCTGACTGCACTCACCCCGCATCTGTCATCCTTCCCCTCTCACTTCCCTTTGCCCTCAGCAACTCCATGCTCGTCTTTCATACCAGAGCTGTCTTCTAGCTGATCTCCGGTGGCAACAAAAATGCATCACAAATGTGCTCAAAATATGCTTGCTACATTGATAAACAGCGAGGGGAGATGTTCAAATGGCAAAGAACATACAAAGAAATCTTTGCCTTTCAAGACTGAACATGCTCAGAAAGAATTAATGAATATTCTGCTGAGGCCAGCAGAAGCCTTCTCCTTGGAGTACACAGGGGACTCTTACATTTGAACAAACAGAAAGAATCACTTACCTCCAGATGTTCTATACGAAAGAAGATCTGAGCAGACAATGTTATGCAGAGAGATCTCCTGTCCCCCAAGCAGATCAATTCCTACAGTGTTTTTCATGTTCTCCCCATGCCCTGGGCTCCTTTTTACTTGGTTAAATGGCTTTACCTACCTTCCTGTTCGTGGGGCTTCAGGGACTTGTCTCCCTAAACCATTGCTGGAAGAAAACCAATTGCATGCTAGCAGTGAGCAACTCAATCAGAAAGAGAATAAGGGCACATGTAGAGTCAGAGAAATGCAAGATTTGGTGGGGTGGGGTGTACAGCACGAACCTCAGAATGACACAACTTAAGGGGATGAGAAAAAGGCGACATCAAAATTTTGTGTCGGGCACACAAAAGGCCTGCCCTGTCAGTCAGACTCCATACCTCCGCTGAGTTGTTTGTGAGTTTCTGCTTGGACAAAGAGTGGGGGTCACTGGGGCAGGTTCTTTGCAGGATCCCAGGACCTGGTCTTCAAATTCTGAGACTGCGTCTGCTGCACATGATGGGAGAGAACCAGGAATTATATCGAAAGTAGAGATTGATGAAAAGTTTTTGATGTGTATTGGTACATCCATTTCTCATTTCACCCCTGGGACAGGTGAGCTGAGCCCCTGGCGGTACCTGAGAGGAAGAAGAGCGCCCAGCTTCATGTCTCCCAGCCTGGCGCTGACTCTCAGCCTCTTTGAATTCTGATCCTCCCCTGAAGGGAGACGTGGAAGCTCCTTGTAGGATTGTTCCTAATAGATTCTAAGTCTTTACGCCTTCAGATGCTGGAGCGAGAAACCGAAGAGGCTGAGAGACAGGTCCAGTCCGACAGACGTGAACCTGGTCCTCTTTCCCAAGTGCCGAGTCACCCACAGAGGCAGTCTGACCCGAATGGACAAGAGCTCTCCATCTGCGCTTCCTGCCCGCAGCCAACACTGAGAAAGGACAAGTCCAATGTATTTGCTCACTCACCAGTTCCAAGGAGAAAAGAGATGGCTGGTCTCAAAGGTCAATTCCGAATGTTTCCACTGAAAGGGCTGGAATCTGGAGTCTGTTGAAGAGCTCCCTGCAGCCCACAGCCTGGGAATATCTCACAAACCCTTCGACGTCTGTGACATGTAGGTCCTGTGTGTGCAATGGGGTCACTGCAGGGAGAAAGGGCTGCCCCTCCTTTCTTTGGTTAATAGGGCAAGTGTGAGAGGCAGCTGAAAAGACTAGGCCTGTGTCTGCACCCCGCCCTTCAGGGGACTTGACCAATTGCTGAGGACTGCATTTCCAAGAAAGGAAACAGAAACCAGGCTCGGGTTGTTTACTGCTTTCTGAAGACCACAGAGCTTCCAAGGTTTTGGTTTTTGTTTTTTCTTTTTAAAGCCACAAGAATGCAATCTTCCCATGGGCAAATAATGACCCACCCCATCCTCTTTCTCTCAAAAACTACATTGTTTTAACTTTCCAAGTCTTTTCAAATCCAACCATTTCTCTCCATTCCCATTGCTAACACCCAGGACAGAGTCCCCATTGTCTCTACCTGGGGTGAATGCAGAGAGCCTTCCAGAGGTGGCCCCACCCCTTGCAATGTTTTGGGACAGTGATAGCCTGCCTCTTCTCCCTAGAAACTGGCAGTGACATTGAAGTGACAAGCTAAGTCACAGGTGCTGATGCAAGAACAAATGCCTAAGAAGTGAGGAAATGATGAAGACCAATGCTGGCCTGGAATACACAATCTGACCTTCACTTCTTCCATTCACATCCACAGGGTGGGGGTGGGGGCTGCAGATCTTACAAATCAACTATATATGAAGCAAATTGGCAAACACTTGAATGAAATTTGAGAAAAAGAGAAGAGTAGGTGGAACATAGCTAGAAATCGGTTTCTGGGAAAATGGAAATAAGCGAGTTTCAGAAGGTGGCAGAGATGCCGAGAGAAGGACCTGCACCCACAGGCGTTATGAGAAAAACAAGACTATCAAATTCACAGGGAAATTCTCAGTGCCTAAGAAGGAAGGGCCAGATTACTTAAAAGGAACAAGGAGCAGACAGCTTCAAGCTTCTCTACAGTGATGCAGAATGCAAGAAGAAGGGAGCAGAATTTTAAAGTACAGAAAGAAATTTATATCTAAACTCATATTCAGTTATACTGTCATTTAAATGGGAGGGTATAACAATAATCTTTGCAGGTTTTCTGAGGTGGGCCTCTAGGTGCTTTGTATTAACTGGGCTAAAGGCACAATAGGCCTTTATAGTCAGGCAGTAAATGGGCTGAAGTTTTAAGAGAGTTGGACCTCTAAGATGGTGCATGAGTTCTTAGTTCTTTTGGCTCAGAGAAATGTGCCTTGGTATAAGTTCATGAAGAGAATTAAATAGACACTAAGACATCCTTCCCTAGGAGGAAGATGAAGGAAAACAGAGGAAAGAAATAGGAGGCAAAATCTAGTTATAGAGTTATAGCTATAGGCATGTATATATGTAAATATATTAATTTATAATAAAATGAATAGAAGCCAATGTACATATATTTATAAGTTAAGTATTAAGATAGCAGATGGACTTTGGGCCTCTACTCAAGGTTTCCCTTAACACAAGAACACTTTGTCTGATAACCTGGCACTCTTGGATATTCACCTTTCCAACATAATCACTGAAGACAAAATGGGTGCATAAGCAAATGTGGTGAAGAGAGCAGATGGTGCCTGGCTATCAAAAGATATAGTATCTGGGGTCTGAAAAGCTTAAAGTTAAACAAGCAGCCATGCAGCAGGGAAGCAAATAAGCCCAAATGGAAAAAGCACACCAGCATGTGTGATCATGCAGTGTTGATGGGATCAAGTATCAAAAGCTCCAAAACAAACAACTATATCTATGTGAATGAGGGGGGTTGTTCTTAGTAATCTTTGAGTCTGCTGATATTCATCAAGTACAACAGAAGATAGGGTTGCCTGGTCCTGCTCCCTCCTGATAATTGTTATCTTTGAGCTCATTATTGAGCTCATTGTTGCATTCACTGTATGTTGCCTCTCCACCTCACCAAACGTGACGTCCTTTTGGAGGGACTAGTCTCTCCTGGCAACTTCCATAGCACAAGCAGTGAAGAGTCTTTCCTCCTGTCTGAGGAGCATTCTGGTGGTGTGCCCTTCAAAGGAGAGGCATTTGTTCTTCTGTCAGTTCACAGTACTTTCAATATTGTTTGCCAACACTTTAATTCAAAGGCATCGATTTTATGTGATCTTCCTTATCGTGGTCTAACTTTCACATGCATATGACCAAAACAAAAGGAAAAACAAACAAACAAACAAACAAACTCATTTCCATCAAGTTGATGCTACACATAGTGACCCCAGAGAACCGAGTGGAACTGCTCGTGTGAATTTTTGAAACGTTAACTCTTTACAACAATAGGAATTCTTCCCTTTTTCTTGCTGAGTGACTGGTGGTTTCAAACTGCTGATCTTGTGTTCAGCAACCCGAAGCCCAACCCACATCCCCACAAGGACTCCACATGCACTTGAAGCGATTGCTAATACCATGAGCTGAGCAGGTGGACCTTACTCCTTCTTCGTTACCACTTTCATGAGGTCTTATGCCATAGATTTCTACAATGAAATGTGTGGCGTGATTTCTTGACTGCTGCTTTCTTGAGTTTTGATTGTGGATCCCAGTAAAATGAAATCCTTCATCTTTTTTCTGTTTATCATGATATTTTCTTCTTGGCCAGTGTGAGGATTTTTGTTTCCCTGGCTTTAAGTTGTAATCCATATGGAAGGTTTTCTCTCTCTTTTCCATTTGAATAAATAATTTGGTTTTTTTTTTTTCATCTCTATTTCTTTAAAAAAAAATCATTTTATTGGGGGCTCGTACAACTCTTATCACAATCCATACATCCATCCACTGTGTCAAACACATTTGTACATTTGTTGCCATCATCATCCTCAAAACATTTTCTTTCTACTTGAACCCTTGGTATCAGCTCCTCATATTTTCCCCTCCCTCCCTGCCCCCCCTGCCTCACGGACCCTTGGTAATTTATAAATTATTATTATTTTGTCATGTCTTACACTGTCCAACGTCTCCCTTCACCCACTTTTGTGTTGTCCATTCCCCAGGGAGGGGGTTATATGTAGATCCTTGTGATCAGTTCCCCCTTTCTACCCCACCTTCCCTCCACCCTCCTGGTATCGCCACTCTCACCACTGGTCCTGAGGGGTTCATTCTGTCCTGGATTCCCTGTGTTTCCAGCTCTTATCTGTACCAGTGTACATCCTCTGGTCAAGCCGCATCTGTAAGGTAGAATTGGGATCATGATAGTGGGGGGAGGAAGCATTAAAGAACTAGAGGTAAGTTGTTTATTTCATCATTGCTACACTGCATCCTGACTGGCTCATCTCCTCCCTGCGACCCTTCTGTAAGGGAGTGGCCAGTTGCCTACAGATAGGCTCTGGGTCTCCACTTCGCATTCCCCCTGATTCACAATGATATATTTTTTTGTTCTTTGATGCCTGATACCTGATCCCATCAACACCTCATGATCACACAGGCTGGTGTATTTCTTCCATATGGGCTTTGTTGCTTCTCAGCTAGATGGCTGCTTGTCTATCTTCAAGCCTTTAAGACACCAGATGCTATATCTCTTGGTAGTTGGACACTATCAGCTTTCCTCACCACGTTTGCTTGTGCACCTGCTTTGTCTTCAGTGATCGTGTTGGGAAGGTGAACATCAGGGAATGCCAGTGTAATAGAACAAAGTGTTCTTTCATTGAGGGAGTACTTAAGTGGAGTACAGGTATCAAATCCTCTTCACTGTCCGAAAGCAAGGAGTTGTCATCTGCATATGCAAGGTTGTTAAAGAGTCTTTCTCTGGTCCTGATGCCAAGTTCTTCTTCATATAGTCCAGCTTCTCAGATAATCTCCCTCCACATATATTGAGTAAATATGGTGAAGAATACAACCCTGATGCACATCTTTCCCAGTCTGAAACCCTGTGTTATCCCATTGTTGTTGTTTTTTAATGATTGCCTCTGGGTCTATGTACATACAGGTTTTCATGAGCAAGATAAAGTGTTCAGAAATTTTAATTCTTCACAACGTGATCAATAATTTGTTATGAATCACATGTCTGAATCCTTTTGCACTGTCAACAAAACATAAGTGAACAACTTTCCCCATTCCTTGTCTGTCAGTGTGTTTATGATGGTGACTTGAGTGTTGCTGTGATGCTGTAAGCTCTTTGCGATTTCAAATGCCAGCAGGGTCACACAAAATGCACAGGTTTTAGGAGAGCTTTTGGATTACAAATAGACTACGAAGAAGGAATAGGCTGTCCACTTCAAATTAGTTAGCCAATGGGAAACCTTAAGGATAGCACGGAAACATTGTCAGATCCTGAAAACTTCATGAATAGAAGCGAAACATTGTTAGAGAAAGTGCCAGACTATAAGCCCCTCAGGTCAGAAGGCACAAAATATGAGTGAGGAAGAGCTGCCTTCTTAGAGCAGATCACGGATACTTGCATGGAGGAAGTTCTCTGGGAATAAAGCCTTCGGGACCTTCATTTGTTAATGGCACATGACTCAAAATGAGAAGAAAGAGCAGCAAACATCAACCCTGGACATTTCATGATCTCTTTTGAAGTGCAATGCTGTCTGTGACAGGATAATATGTATTCGCATAAAAGGAAACCCAATCAACACAACTATTATTTAAATTCAAGCACCAACCACTGAAGCTGGTGATACAGAAATTGAAAAATTCTACCACTATCTTCAGACTGGATGGATCAAACATGCAATCAAGATGCATTGATAATTTTTTGCAACTGGAATTTCAAAAGTTGGAAACAAAGAGGAAGGAACAGTAGTTGAAAAATATGGTCCTGGTGATAGAAATGAAGCTGGAGATCTCATGGCAAGACCAATGACTTCTTCATTGAAAATACCTTTTTCAACAGCATGAAAGACATCTATATGCATGGACTTCTCCAGATGAAATACAAAGAAATCACATTGACCATATGTGTGGCATGATAATGGAGAAGCTCAATATCAGTAGCTAACATAAGGCCAGTCTCCAACTATAGAACAGACCAGCAATTGTTCAAAGGTAAGTTCAGGTTGAAGCTGAAGAAAATGAAAACAAACTCATGGAAGCTGAAATACATCCTTGAGAATATCCCACCTGAATTTCTGGAACAACTCAAGAACAGATTTGAGGCCCTGAACTCTACAGACAGAAAACCTGATGAGTTGTGGGATGGCATCAAAAACTTCATTCATGAAGAAAGCAAAATGTCATTAAAAGAAAGGAAAGAAAGAAAAGATCAAGGCTGTTGTATTGCTGTTGGTGGGTAAAATGGGAGGAGGAACCTCCCACTGAGAAAAAAATGTTTACTAATACTTATATAGAACTCATGTGGGAGAATATACCTGGTACTATGTTCCTAATTGAACACCTTTAACCTGGTTTATATCTAGCCTTTGATGACCCAGACCAAGTGCTATAGACTACTGGGACTTTAGACCATCTTTTCGAGGCACATAGCATCCTTCCTAGGCCACACCAGAATGATTCAACATGGAAACCCCACTAAATGAACTGGGCTTTACCTCCTTCTTACTTGTGTCAGATTTATGGAACTGATAATATTCCCTTGGATTTAATGCTGAAATGTTATAGTGTGAGAAGAATGGCCATTATACCAAGGTTAGGGAATTGGCAATCACTGGACTTTGGTTTGAATTTCTGACTTTGAGGGTGGCCCATGAATGGTGGCCCTGGAAAACCATCTATTTACTATTTTAATTCCCTCCTTGCTTTATTATAACTCACATCAATTCAGTAGGCATGGTTCTGCTGATGTGAATAAATGTTATTGAAAGTTTTGCCCCAACACCCACTGTTTGTGAAAATAGTGTTCAGTCACTTAGAAGCTCAATCTGTTCAAGCCAACAATGTATTATGCATTATTCATGTATTATGGTCTGAAGCTGGCCTATACTTGTATAATTTCTTCTTTTCACCAGTGTTTTAAATAGTATACCACTGGCTAAATGAATAACACTACCAATAGAATTACCTTAGTCATCAAGGGATAATTTATATTGTTCTCTATCATAAAATGATAATGTCATGTCTGAAGTGGATCAGATGGCGAGGTGACCAATGAGCACCCTGGTGAGGCTAAGTGAAGCAGCCCACATCGAGATGACCAGAACCAACCAGATGAAGAGAAGTTTTTTTGAGCCTGTGAACTGGTGCATATTGTTGCTGACTTTGTTGCTGGATGGCCTGTCCGGATTTGACTTTGCTTATGGATGCAGACTTCACACGGTTTCAACTGGAATGAAGATTCTTCATGTCAAAGAATTTGATTGTCTCCTCAGTACACTGGGCTGATGTAAGTGGGCAGTATAGAAATTGGATACCCAAAATTGGGATCATAAAGACATGAAGTGGTTGGCTTACAAATTTTAATAGGTGGGGAATATATTCATAGGATTATGGGATTACGGTGTAGGTGTTACTTAATTGCAATTGTTAGGCACAGGATATTTTTGTTTTGGTCACTTATAGAATGTTATGTTTACCTGAGGATGGCACAATTTTGAGTTGTATGCATTTAGTTTTATCCTATTAAGTACAGATATGATTTTATTACTGTTTGTTTGAAAATTGTATATGGCTAAAAAGTTATGTTAAAGTGTCAAATTGACAAGAGGTGGTCTGAGTTAGTAACATAATCTGGTATCAATTTGGGACTTGAGAGGATTAAGAGTGAAGGGTGGAGTCTAGTCTGTCAATCGGGTCATAGCCAATGAGACCTCTGTGGATATGGCCTTCTCCTGAGGATTCTGGGAAAACTCTGATATGTCCTCCTTGGAGGCAGGAGACACTTTCTCACTCTGCTCGCTCCCTGTGAGACATTCTACTGACAAGGCTGACTCCCTGTGAGACATCCCTGAGGAGAAGCCACATGAACCTACCCTGATGCAGATCTGGGTGCTGGAGAAGCCACGTGGAGATCCCTGCCAGCATTGAGATGCTTACAATGCCATTGGATCCAAACACTTTCTACCCACTGGTGTGTGATTGTCCTGCATTCAGCGTCATTGCATGTGTTTCATGAGTCAGAGGAGGACTTTATAGATTGGTATCGGACATATGGGCTAATATTGGATTCATGGACTTGATCCGGATTGGGCTAAGACATTTCTCAATATTCAATTCCTCTTGTATACAAAACTCTCTCTTATACACATATGACATTCTATGGATTTGTTTCTCTAGTCTACCCAGACTGACACAGATGGAATGAGGTGTTAATTATAGCTCCATAATATTAATTTAACAAAACAAATATAGAGGCATCTTATATTGGAAAAGACTAATTTTGACTAAGTTATATTTAGACAACCAGGAAGTTATATGAAATAAAATAAACTGAGGTTCATCCTTAGATAAATTGCAAAAGGGAACATACAAGTAACAAAAGTGATGGAATTAACATCAAAGGACTTTAAAGCTTCATGAATATTACAAATGTCTTATAAACAAAACTGCAAACTTACATTTTCTCAAGCATTTAAAAAACCTTAGAGCAGGACTGAACTATCAGGGAAAGAGAGGTGGGGAGAGGGAGATTCTGGTATTCCTGGAAACCCTCACGTAGTAACAGGAAGAGGAAAGTAAAAGCGGATCAAGTTTGTTTCTCTTCTCGAAAGTGCTATCCTTTCCAGCAGAGAAGAGTGACAAAGAGGCCGTGGGGCTTACTGGTTAGTCCCCTTGTACAGTGGGAAAATTTACCTGAAAGACTGGGCACGAGGCTGTAGAGAGGAAGACCAGGAGGTGAGTGACAGGTCCTCAGACTATGCGGCTCTGTGGATAGAGGTCAAAACACTGGAGTGGAGGATGAGGAGGCAAAGCAGTGTGAAGGACTCTTGTACAGTGGGAAAATTTACCTGAAAGACTGGGCATGGGAGGCACGCTAGGGAGACAAGACATTGAAAGAAGGCACTGTGGACAGTGCAGAGAATCCAGAATGAGTTGGGAGGCAGATCTCAGATTAGCATGCAGGGACTGGACCACATTAGGGTCTTGACAGTTATGCTCAAGAGTCTGCACACTATCCTGCCCCGTCTCTTCTCCACATAATCAAGGCATTGCTCTGAGCTTACAGTCACATCTGCTCCCTGACCTTCAGCATGCTCCATGTGACATGCAGTTCAAGACAGGCAAGCCCAGGTCTCATGATGGGTGTTCCCAGGGGCACCTGGCAGAAGTTTCTCCTGCTTGCTGCCTGTAAGGATGGGAAAAGGAAGCTAGGTATGCCTGGGACTGTGTTTTAAACCTTGTGGAGAGATAGAGGAACTCAGAATCTGCATGGTCTTCTAGGCCCTGGACCCAGGCGACGTGGTAGCCCAACCCCCTTCCCAGTGTTTTCTTCTTGAACCCCCATTGTTTTAGAGTAGCTGCCATGTTCAATGTTAGAACTGACACCCAGAGCACAGTTTTGGAGCAGGACAGTGTGTGCAATTGGGCAATGAAGGACTTTAACACACAATAAACATGGCAAATTTCTTAGAAACATAACTGTACACTTAAATTTTCTCAAGCACGAAAACTTCTCTCACCTGACTACTTGTCTCTGTTCAGTAAAGATACTAGCAAGTCACCTGACGGAAGTGGCTTTGTGGTCTCATATTCAACACATTGTTTTAAACACTTCCCACCTGTCAGACTCTAGGTATTGAGCTGAGGCATAAATGCTCCCTCATATGGCTGCCATGAGAGGGGAACACAGAGACAACTGTCTCTCCAGAGAATGATTGGCAGGCCACAGGAGTTGCTGTGAAAGCCCCAGGTGACGAGTTCACCGTGAACTCAGGACAGACCCATCTACCACTGTGTACATTTCTGTCTTACAGGATCCGACTGCCCAGACACAGATGCAGGGAGGGGGACTCAGTGGCTGTATCCATGGTGCACTTTGCAGGCAGGTGTGATGAAAGGACAGGAGGAAGGAGTGTAGAGACCCAGCATATCCCAAATCAAAGGAATGTGGAGGGCAGACTAAGATGGAAATAGAAGACAGGAGTCATGGAGTGGCCGGTATATACAAGAGGGCAGAAGGAGAGAGACTGGACACAGGGCGGAGGGGCTCCTCGCAGGACAGAACGCCGCTGTCACTCCGGCGCTGTGCTGTGTGGAGGATGTCGAGAAGCACTGGCGTGAGGAACCCTCTAGCATCCTGTACTCACCAGGAGGGTCTGCATCTTTTCTGAAAGATCTCTTAGCGGGTTGGACATTATCTAAGTAGCTCAGGATGTGGGTGGGGGTGAGAGGCAGCTCAGCAGGTGTCAGGACACCCTGATCTCGGACAGCTTCCTCGTTCTGGAAACTAGACTGATTTCCTGGAATAGAAACTGAAAGTAGCAAGCCTTTCAGTCCCCTCCCCTTGGGGCTGGAGCAGGCAGGGGAAGACTGACATGAACCCAGCAGAGACTCAGTAGGAGCAGCTGTTTGGATTTGGTGCAGGAAGAAATCCAGGACAAAGGGGCTGTAATTCTTCCGTTCCCCATCTTTGGCTTGCTATCCTGCCCTCTGCTCTTCTTAGGATAGCTTCAACTTTCCACAACTCACTCGTTTGGCTTTTTGTGTGCGTGTGAGCCAACTGGCGTGGATTGAAGTTTGGAAAGGTGTCAGAGGGAGGCCAGCAAATTCTTCTCTGGAAAGGAGCGATGTAGCAGGAGTATTTCTTGACATCCCAGCACAGTGGCCGCCCTGCTTCCAGGAGTTGGTAAGTGGAGAAGATCTTAAAATTGCCACTGGAGATCCCCTTGCAGAGGGGTCTCGGGGAGGCGACGAGCCAGTCAGGTTGCGATGTAACAACGATGAGAAATACAACTTTCCTCAAGTTCCTAAATGTTTCCTCCCCGCTCCCACTACTATGACTCGAAATTCGACCTTGCAAATCTAGCTGGACCAGAGGATGTACACTGGTACAGATAGGAATTGAAAATACAGGGAACCCAGGGCGGATGAGCCCTACAGGACCAGTCGTGTGAGTGGTGAAACAGGGAGGGTA